GTTTCTGGCTGAGCTGTAATTAGCGAGAAGGCGATATAAAAATGCAATAGCATATCTTATGATGAAAATAGAACAAAATGATAATACTGCGAAGGTAAAAAAAGCCTTCAGGTTAGAATACCAATATGGAACTAGAGAAGGACAGTGGCTAGTTCTAACATGATTCCCGGTCTCATCTGCCCCGGCCGGTTGATCCCATTTTAGTTAGGCAAGCCTGGTGTGAATCACACGGAGGCGATTTTAGAATTAATTGACAGGATCCGTATCCATTAATAGGTTTGTAATATGAACTTTTTATGTTGATCTCCTACATAATTGTAAGTTATACTCCGCCTTATATTTCGTTAAATTATCAAGTTTACGTAACAAGTGCAAGCGAAATCCTAATTGACTGCCATGTTGGAAACTTCCTCAATCTTTCCGATATAGGTCAGACGTCTAAATATGGGTGTCATGACCAAATATGGAAATTGTAGTAAACATGACCGCATCAGTAGTAATACTATATTTGGCCGTGAAGGCCATATAAGGAAACGGATAACATCACGCGTGATCTAACATGGCCGTCGTTTCTTTTTTTAGAGTTTTTAGTAAGGATTTGTTATTTTAACGATGAACGAATATGCAATATTTTGATAACATTATAATCATATGAAGCGTGAATCAGATATATTATTACTGATTAGCACTTTTGATTATCCTCAGTTAGTTGGAACAGGACCGCTTCATAGCTCTGACCACGCAATATATAATTGTAAACAGGGACGTAAATGTCACCAATTTTAGCCAATCACAGGACAATATTTCCGTGTAAAGGGTTAATCCAGCGACAGTTCCAAGAGTAAATACGAAGTTTTAGAAGGATACTTAGTTCTAACTAAGAATAAGATTATATCCAATGACGTTTGAGTGAACTTGAGTCCGTGGTAATGGATTTTATTTGCAGTTTGTTTAGTATTACTAGAAGGTGACGTTATGTCTCGTTTATGAATATCTGAGCTCATTAACTGAAGTATTTTTACCGGAAGTTGCGTGTAGCATGCATGACCTACATTCAAGTAGCAGTTCCCGATTGAGATAAACAGGGTGCATTTTCAATAAGAATACGACGTTGTGATAAGATCATATGTTCTATAAAGAAAAGTAATGATATTTACAAGCCATTCAAGTGCATTTGAGTCCAAAGTTACGCATAATAAAGACAGTAGGTCTGGTATATGATTCAATTTAGTACCAGTGACTACCGCTAGAGGCCGTCTGTGTGAAATCGACATTTATGAATATCTGAGCTCATTAACTAAAGTAATACCAATAGCTGGCGGCTAACGCCTTAGCTAAAAACCTTCACTGTCAAAATTCAAGATGGATGCCTGTTGGCCATTTTGTTTATCTGATCAGTCTCAAAAGTAAATATGCACAACTAGGGATCCAGGGGAACCTTCATATTAAATTTGAGAAAGATCCCTTCAGAACTTTCTGAGAAATTGTGGTAACAAGAATTGTTTAAGGTCGGAGGATGGATGGAGGACAGACGACGGACCATGGACAAAGGGCAATTTGAATTGCCTGTGATGGTGGGCTAAAAAAGTCTATTATTGGGAGAAGAGCCAAAATTTAAGTTCAGAGTATCTTAATATTATATTGCTGGTGTCAACAAGTCATTTTTGTTAAAGCACTTCTGGTGGTCTGACAAATCAGTGAAAAGCAGCACCCAATATATAATATTACAAAATTTAATGGTTATGAAAAAAATTAGTGGTTAAGTCATGTTTTTCTACTCATAGCAAGAGCTTGATAAGATATTAATTTATAGTCTTAAGCTTTTGAATTGACACAACATGTGACCTCCTAGCAAAAAATTGCTTTTTTTTGTCCTGTGGTAATGAATGCCTAGCTGTGATATACAGTTAATTAGCCAATGTTATACTTGTTCAAGCAAACTTGCAATGTCCAAGTTAACACAAATAGAGAATATATGTTCAGTTGGAACACACTTTTTTACAAATAGAAATTGCATGTGGTCATGATACTACCACTAACCCACATATAATGGGCTATAATTACTACAGAAATGGAATCCGGACTGAAGAGTTCTAGTTGGGAAGAAAGATAACCTTATACAGTTTGTGGGAAGGGGATGGCCGATGATAAGTATACGCCAACAAAATGGATTAAATCATGTACATCAGATTTACACTGTATCATTAATAGGATGCTGCTGGATTCAATATGTTTGTTCAGAAACTACAAAAATCAACATTTTTTGAAAAGTCATACAACTTAATAGGTAAATACTGTAACAATCATCACTTCAGTAAACATGTAAATATTTTGACCTTCATTATGACCTTGCAATCCCCACAATAGAAATACCTTTAGATATATATTAACCAGCCCAGGTCAACATTAAAGGATCTAGGTGTCTGTCCTACCTTGCTGTCAGGGTTGATAACTGTATATGTTCAGAAGTTCAGAAGAAAATTCCACTGTTATATGATGTGGGTCAGTCAGGTTGGGGCATCAATGGTTGCCTAGCATCAAATTTGTTTGGCTGTAGTAGTATTGTGTATTGTAGAGCATCTCCTCACTAGAACCTTCTAGCTTCTGTAATTCTGTGTGTGCCAGCAATCTAAAAATAGAATAAATTTGCTACAGCCTTATCACTGCATGGTAAAAGAAGCCAGTGCAATGACCCCAACAACAAAGTGTACTCATAATTCTTAAACATAATAGTTTAGTTATTTTAACACTTCATATATCTTTTTTATCACATACTGTACTGTGTTATCCATAGTCTCGTTCAACCAGACTATTGTTGCCTGTGAAGCTACGCGGAATAGAGAGTCTGATCAAACCCAGTGCTTTCGTTTTGTGACATCAAAATGAGGCTTAACGAGATTCTGGTAAATTTTTTCATTTGTCAAAGGTTGACACTTTTTAACTTTTGAAGTCAGAATTTGAGTGGCCCAAAATTACATTGAATATTTTAATTTATTAAAGAATTACCTGTTTTCACTATTAACGAGAAAAATGTAAGAAAATGCTTCAAAAAGAATGATTTCATGTATTTTTGTTGGATATTTTACAATAATTCATGAAGCTAAAAGTCAAGCCAGATAACCTAAGTGAGAACTTGACGGTGTTTTGAATGGTGCACAGGTAAAATCTCACTTGCTTTGCATGCTTTTTTCCAACTTCAGTCAGCCTTGTTGGCTTTGTGCTTAGTTATGATTTATTCAATGGAAATATATGGCATTATTCTGGAGATTTGACACATTTTCTTACATTGTTCTCGATAAAAGTGAATACACGGTTACTTCAGGAATGCATGGATAGGTAATTTTTTTCATTAACTTCATTATTCATTGAAATGTTTAATGGCGTTGACATAACGTCCGGAAAAGAAAGTAAAAACACTGCCCTCTGGTGATAGTAATTTTAAAACACTGTGTTTGACCAGACTCTTGAATTACAAGTGATCAAGTGTCTGGTTGAACGAGACTATGTTATCCAGTGAATATATCCATGTCATATTTTTTTGCGTATTAACCCATGTAATATGACCTATCAGCCATGTGATTGGTTATAGTTTCAATTGTTTCAATTGTTTCAATTGTGACGTCATGCTAGGACAGTTACATGACGTCACAGACTTACACACTGGAGTCAAAATGGCGGCTTTTCACATTTCAAGGTTGCATGAAAATTGTCTTTTTACACAAATAAATGCCACAAATCTTGATTATGTGATAAAAAGGATCTTACAATCCTTTTCATTTCATATGAAATTTATGATACTTGTCATAAATTTTTCGTTTTAGCTCACCAGAGGCTCACTATATTGAAAAATTCTTAAGACTCGTTTTATAAATCTCATATGAAATGGAAACTCATGTAAGATCCTATATATATATATATATATATATACATATATGCACATGTCATACAAACAACAAGTATTTAAGTAGCATCTGACTCCAGTGTAGGACAATTCCTACTGGAGCTGACAGTTTAATTTTCTGGTATGGTATCTCATCCTGACACACTAGACTTCAGAGCACCAAATACATTTTCACTCCTTTATAATATACAGCTTTACTTATTATCATGAAAAATGTGGGACAAAGAACAGTTATTAAAAAATTTCAATTCGTATGCAATTGATGGCTTGCTTGCATCTTTTCATTTTGCACACAGGGGCTTGGCTGATTTTGAGTAATATATGATGCAAATCGTTATACTTTCGATTAATAATAAACTTAATATATACACACCAGTAAATATATAATACACATTTTAAAACCTTATACAAATTGAGGGTACCAAGGTATGAAAATGGTATACCTCGGTACCCTCAATAAATACCGGAACCGAAAGTATTACGATTTACTTCATATATTACTCAAAATCTAAACTGAGGATTCCTATTTTATTGTGGTTTGAACATGAAATATGTCGATGGGCTGTTTAAAACAGTTAAACAATAGTCGTTGTGAATGACTGTTCTTTATGAACCCTTTATATTTTTAACTTCCTTTTCCTGAACATCTGTGTTTGCACCATTTCGGGTCAAAGACAAATACAGGCAAGTTGTCTCATAAACGCCTTTACTTCTTATCTTTTTGTCTGTTTTACCATAGGAGCTTGAAGTTCTGTCAATAATGAATAATAATAGTAATACAAAAAATACCCCTAATATGCTTAAAAAATATTTTACTATTATTATTATTATTCATTGACAGAACTTCAGGCTCCTATGGTTTTACATCTGTTTTGCAAACATTTAAGGCATATGTCTACGGTTTGACACATTTTTGTCTATGTAAGACAAAAATGTGTCAAACCGTAGGCATATGCCTTAAATGTTTTCTACATTTTCCGATGACAAAAAGATATAAATTCATAAACCTTTTACTCAACAACTTTCTCATAGCCTAACCTTCCAGGCGTCTCCGAGGGAAGTACGAAACTAAACCGGATACACAGTATATGCTAGCTTTACCGGTCCAGCCTATCGCAAAATGGCGTCTTCATTAATGTCAAGAGGCTTTCGCACGTTTCAAGTTTTCACGAAAAATACGAAAATTGTTCGGACATGTCCACTTCTAAAGAATGTCAGATGTGTTAGACTATATACAAATCAATCATCTAAAAGGTACAGTATAGAAATGTCCATTTATCTTTGTTTTTGTAAGCTTACATTAAAGCTAAGGGTCACCTCACGTAAGGCCTACGTGATGCAGTTCACGTACTCAATATTACACATGTACATCTCCCGTGATATGTCACGACAGACAATTCGATTAATTTGATTTGTTCCATGCATCGAAAACGACAAAATGAATTATTACATATGCACCTAAACCCTAACACATAAAAAGAGGGCAGGTATTATCCTCGTCCTGTCGTCTGTTAATACACCTATATTCTGATATTATACAAGAAATTGTAGCAAAGCTGCTGGACACCAAATCTTTTTACGAAAATGGCTTACTGACAGTCCGTCATTTACAAAAAAAAAACATTAATACCTTTTGTCACAATTGCAGCGATTTTTGCAAATATTTCTTTTGTCAGTGTACCTATTTGACTATTTTGAATAAAATATCATTCAACCATCTTCTAGGTTAAAGCGTCAATCGTAGCTCCCCGCCCCTTTTAATAATAGTTATTACTTCTCGAGACTGCTATGAAGACATATTTTGCCACAACGCTGTTTTTTTGGTTGTCATCACATATTTCTTTTATACAAGTGAAATAAATATATCGTATTGAACGGGAAAACCATGAAATTTTCTATTTCTTACATTTTTTTTTCACGTTTCGCTGCACAAATATTGCGACACATTTTTTTTTCACGTTTCGCTGCACAAATATTGCGACACCAGAAGAGCGCGGGAGTGTGTAACATAGTTTTTGACTACAAGTTGTAATGACGTCATGCTTGACAACAATACAGAGCGCCATTTTGAATGGGTTTTCACTGCAATTTTGCCGTTTGCTAGTATTATCTGGTAAGATTTCCAGACACAAATATATTGACTGTGTATAGTTATGTAAAAACAACAAGAGGCCCATAGGGCCTGTATCGCTCACCTGGTTATCTAAGCAATCATGGCAAAATATTCTCCAAATGAGATCCAAGGGAATATGCCAGACCCCAAGGCCAATCCTTGTAGCATATCTGTATTAGATTTTTCATGCCCAGCAATTTTATGTATGGTTATGGTCATGGGGATCTCAACTGTTTCCAAGCTGTGACTCAAAAACTAGGTCCCTAGGGTTGTGGCCAGACCCCAGGATCAATTCTAATATCGTGACTGCATTTGTCTCTTTTTGCCCAGCATTTGTATATATAGATTTTGGGTGGGGATCTCAACTGTTTCCAAGCTATGACTAAGAAACTAGGTCCCTAGGGGTTCGGTCAGACCCCAGGGTCTATTCTAATATCATGACTGCATTCGTCTCTTTATGCCCAGAATTTGTATCTATAGTTTTGGGGTGGTGATCTCAACCGTTTTAAAGTTATGGCCCATGGACTATGTCTCCAGGGTAGGGCCAGACCCTAGGGCCATCCTGGAAGAAAATGGGCATTCTTCTCTTTATACTCAGCAATTTGTATATGTAGTTATATGGTGGGGATCTCGACCATTTCCATGCAATAACCCTTTTTGGCCCCGCCCCTCCCCCCCCCCCCCCCCCTTGGGGGTCAGCCCCACCATTTGTACAATTTTGAATTCCTGCATCCCATGATGAGTGCTTTTGATTAAATATGATTGATATCCAGTGCATAGTTAAACAGAAGAAGTCATTTGTAGCAATATAGTCAAATTGCCCCTTTTAGGCCCCGCCCCTCAGCCCCCTTGGGTGTCAGCCCCACCATTTGTACAATTTTGAATCTCCACCACCTAGGGATGCTTCCAGTAAAATATGGTTGATATCCATCTCTTAGTTCCAGAGAAGAAGTCGCTTACAGCAGTAGCTAAATTGTCCCCTTTTTGCCCCGCCCCTCAGCCCCCACCATTTGTACAATTTTGAATCCCCACCACCTAGGGATGCTTCCAGTTAAATTTAGTTAAATTCCAATCTGTGGTTAAGAAGAAGAAGTCGTTTAAAGAAATTGTTGACGGACGGACGGACGATGGACGCCACGGTATGGCATGAGCTCACCTTGGACCTTCGGAGCCGGTGAGCTAATAATGTATGCAGCAAAGGTGGACAACACAACCACTTATTCTGCTGTCACTTCATCTAACCTTTAAACTGATTGGACAATACTTATTGAGTGAAGTTTTTACTTGTGAAGATATAATGTTCTGTTTATCTTCACTGCATTAATGATGTTTTTATTAAATAGAGAAATCATGATATTTCACAAGTAAACTGCAATAAAGATATGTTTTTATTAAATAGAGAAATTATGATAAGTCACAAGTAAACTGTAATAAATATGGATACCATAGGGTTTACCATCATATTTTTGTAGACAGTATGCAGCCTCAATTTCCCAGAAGGCTTTCACGCATGGGGAAGCACCGGAAGTGGACAAAGTGTTTACAGATCAACCCCTGCGACGCAAATCGCAAAGTGCCGCTTGGGGGGTTTCAATCAATCAAACCCGATTATATTAAAGGTTTGACAGACGAGGCTAGTACCTCTGGTTTGAGGAATTTCCCTGTTACAAGGACAAAAAAGGAACATTTAATTCAGAGGTCCTCAAAATGGTGTCAATTGATGCCTGAGGAGGGTATGGTACTAATAAATACCCGGCCTCCTCAGCCCCTTATGACGACGCAATATATAAAAAATTCTCTCTCGTCATCAGAAAGCTACGTTATCGCAGCTAGGGTGAGGGTACCAAAAATGGAACTCTTTTATGGAACTATTTTGCAATAAAAATGAATGGTTTGTATTCTCAATTGATATTTATATTCTTTTATGCATTTTGAGCAAATTTCATCTGCCTACCTCTTGAACATTGCTCATAAACTTATTGAAATATTAAAATAATGGACGGGAAAAAATCCCAGGAAGCAGTAGAGTGCGACAACATATGTATCTGATCATATTTCTTAACATGATTCATGGTTCATGGTGGTCGACATCCTCGTTAGCATAATTCCTTGCTTCTGTTGATGCCTCTTCATAGTCATTCACTTATTTACAGGTTGCACAGAGATCGCTAAACAACTTAATATTATATATATATTAGTTGCACGATGGTAAAAACTTGATTGGATGTTTGACCCAATGCTTATTGAGTATAGATTTAAAAACATTTAAGGTTGGGGAATCTACCTCAATTGTTGGGAGTTGATTCCAAATATTTACAATTCTATTTTTAAAAGCATGTCCTCTAATGTTGGTCTTATACCAATTTTTTTTCAGTTTTTTTCAGTTTTTTGCACACCTGGCCAGGTGCGCTTATGCTGTATTCCAGCGTCCGTCCGTCAACTTCTTCTTTTAAACGACTTCTTCTGAAGAACTGAAGGATCTAGGGTCATGATATTTGGCCAGTAGGTACCTGGGATGGAGTGCTAAAAAGTTTCCTCATTAAAATGACCTTGACCTACTTTTAAGGTCACAGGGGTCAAATATGTTCAAAAAATTCAAACAACAATATCCTAAGAACCATTTGGATTAGAGTCAATATACTTAGCAATGTTATGAAGACAAGCAGTGCAAATATTTTTCTTAATAACAGTAATGATGTCAAAGGTCAATTTTAAGTGCTAGTCAGGGATCAAATGTCAACATAGGTTAAAAGCTTTAACAATCTTCTTCTCAAGTTCCATAAGGCCCAGGGTCATAATATTTGGCCAGTAGGTACCAGGGATAGAGTACTATAAAGTTGCTTTCAAGGTCACAGGGCTCAAATATGTTGAAAACTTCAAACAACAATATCAGGGCCAAAGATCTAGAGGAAAAATAGCTTTTAAATCCTTCTTCTTCTTTAGGAATGACAGGATTATGTCCATATTTGGTCTAAAGCATCCTTGGGCGAAGGGGACCTAATTTTGTATCAACGATAGGTCTAACCCCCCTGGGTACAGAGGCCCGGGCGGGGCCCGATAGGGGAAACATAGCAAATTCTTCAAAATCCTCCTTTTATTTTAGGAATGACAAGATTTTGTCCAATTGCATATAAATATAACCCCTGACTAACCATGTATTACATGTACACTTCCAGTAACATCACCCTATTCTAACTTAAATTTTGCTTACATTTCCAGGTGAGTGATACAGGCCCTCTGGGCCTCTTGTTATAAATCATTACAGTGTAATAGCTAGCGGGGGCTGACAAGGGACATGTACTGCTTTAGCAATACTCAGTATGCTTGTTGATATTATTAAAATTATATGTCGGGTCCATACCTTAGATATACCTTGTAACCAACCATATATACTCTATATTTCAGGTTTCACCAGGCCAGTCATCCTACAAAGAAAGCTGCAATGATTGGTATATTTGGTGCGGCAGGAGTTGCCATGTTGTCAAATGAGAAGAAAGACATAAAGGCAGAAATTCTTGAATTAATTGAAAGAGGAAAATCATTTAATATCATAGGAGATAATAGAAGTAATCGTATTTTTGAATCAGCAAAGGATGAGGCTAAAAAAGCTTTGAGAAGGGGTAAAATATCAGAGGAAGAGAGAGATATACTGGTTGTAATAGCAAGCAAGTTGCTTGGAGAGCATTTCCTAGCAAATGGATATATAGATAAAGCTGAAGAATGTTTCATGGAAGCACTTGAATCTTACAAAAAGCTAGGATTTGACAAATATGATGACCCATCCTTGGAGTTGATACTGAGATTGACAAACTGCTTTGCTCTGAATGGCAGGGAAGTTGAGGCAAAGGAGAGCTTTGACATGATCATCGACACACAGCTTCGGAAAATAAAGGACAGCGAAACCACGTGTCCACTAAGTACATACCAGATCCTGTGGGCCACCCTCCAACTATATGGACGATTCCTTATCTTAAACAAGGACTACGACGAAGCAGAACGTTTGTTCTATATTGCAGATGATGTCATGCAGAAAGCAAGTGGGGAGATGTTCAGTGGGAGACAAGATATTTTGACAGACTTGGCTGGTGTCAAGATTGTCAAACAAGACCTGGCTGGTGCCGAAGCAACATTTGAAAAGGCCATCAAAATTGGAGAGAAAGGAAATTCGCCAGAGTTATGTTTGACTTATTGTTACATGGCAGACCTTGCAACAAGAATGGGCAATTTAGACAAAGCAGAAAAGATGTGTACAAATGGACTCCGATTAGCCGAAAAACTTAAAGACTCGACCTGTCTTAACAAAGCAAATCTGTATATAGGAAAGCTTCAAGAAGCAAGAACAAATAAAACAAAAAGTATGACCCAAGAAGATAAAAGTGATTAAGATTTTCACAGAATACGTGGTATATATTTATACTGTATGTTTATGTGTATGTATTTAAGTGAAAAGACTTGCAAGATGTCTGTGTGGTGGTGGTGAATGAGTTAAAATAAAACAGGAGTTCAAAACATGCACTCCGGAGAGCTTTTCACCTGAATGTATTTAGGTTCTTTAGAAAGATATATTTAGGCCAGAAAGTTTGTAGATAACAATCCACTAGCACTATCGCATCTGCAACGGGAATAATTGTTCTTAATGTATTGTGATTATAGCATCCTAGACATGGACATTACAAAAGTCAACACTTGATAATTTATGAAACGAGTAAGTGGAAATATTGTTATATTTAAACTTTGCAAAAGGAAAAGCGAGGATAAGATGTTACATTGACTTTTCATTTCTAGAGTTTATCATTGAAAGTACAAATTTTAATGCTGGGGCTGTTACACTTGGTTCATAGTTACAAATTATCAATTCAAACCCTACATTAGATATTTTCTATGAGGAACCTTCACAGGTGCTTTTTGTTTTGGACATAACTTGGACAAGTTGAAATATTGGGATCAAAAGTCAAGGTCACAATTACAAAAAAAAGAATTTTGCGTTCGCACTTCCTGTTATCAATCTAGTGTCCAAATTTTCAAACATATGTTAATGAAACTTTACGGGTATGATTGCCATTGACAAGTTAATGTGAGCTTCATGGTGCAAAGGTCAAGGCCGCTGTTATTAAAAATAGGGTTTTACAGAAAACGGATATTGATCAATCTATACTAGTGGCCATATTTTTTTAAACAGATTTTCAGGTAGCTTCATGCAAGTATGCCTTCGACAGACCTTAAAATAAGTTAGAATATTAAGTTATATCAAGGTCAAAGATACTAAAATAGAATTTACTGAAAATAGCTTGTTATCACTACATCGGCCAAGCGAGGGACAATATTGGGATTATTGAGCCCTGCTCACTTTCTTCGGTTGTTATTTTATATATGTATGTGTGTTGTTTTATGTTGCCGTATATGACTATATACAATTCTGTGATGTTGTTATATGGATAGAAAGATTTAAATTGCATGGATGTTGTAGATGAGGATAGGTAAAATGCTGAATTTATGGTTCCAAAACAGATCTATTAAATGCAGGTTGTTTATATTTTTGTGTGTTAATTTGAAACCTGTCTATATGTACACCGATCAAGAGACATGGGCCACTGATCGGTTGAGCTAAGACATACTTCTCTACTTCCATTAGACTAATTTTGATCATATGGTTGACCTGATCAAGTTTTGGTACTTTTTGGGCCAATTCAAATTAAGAAATGGCCAACCTAGTCTTTGATTTACAAGGTCTTTCTTTTATTTTTTCTCAAATTCAACCAGTCAATTCTTAAGAAACTTGTATGTTATGAGCTCACCAGACACAAAGGCCAAGACATTATATGCCGCAATACATTTTCCTTTCCCCGCCAACATTTCCGTTAGCTTACCCAATACTAGAGTAGTTCAGAATGGCTTACAGTGATAAACAGATTTTACCTATTTGGTACAAGCACCTCTGATCCAAATTGCTACCATTCTACAATCCAATGGGAGAAAAAGAAGCAAATCTGTAAACCTAAAGTAATGAAGCATTCATTGTTCCCTTCAGATTGTGTTTATGAAATGAAGGTTTTGATATCACCCTGCAGACAGGAATAGGCCCAATAGGAAATATGCCATTTCTTACCATAGAACAGTCCTACGATTTTGTTGTAACAGGAATCTGCAATCAGTATTTTCAGACTTATCATGATTTACTGCATTTACAAAATATGATTTTGTGCTTAGATTATATTTATTATTTTGTCTACCTAATCAAATGTACATATTGTGATTTATTCCTGTGGATGTTGTTATGTTGACAAATAAAACGGAATACTTTTCAATACAGCTTAGTTATGTTGCCGGATCAACTAATGATGAGCTTTGTCATCTTAAGGTAAATTGTCCACATTCAAAATTTATTATAAATTATAGTCTTTGTATTTAGAGACCACCTTCCGAAAGTCTATTGAGAAGCCTCTTAATGTTGTGATACAGGTTTAGTTAACATAATAATTGTAATCAATTAAGTGGTACCTTTACATAGGTAACCTCTTAATACAGTGATGCATGATTAGTTAACATGATAATTGTAGTCAATTAAGTGGTACCTTTACATAGGTAACCTCTTAATGTAGTGATATAGGATTAGTCAACATGATCATTGTAATCAATTAAGTGGTACCTTTACATAGGTAACCTCTTAATGCAGTGATGCAGGATTAGTTAACATGATAATTGTAATCAATTACATGGTACCTTTACATAGGTACCCTCTTAATGCAGTGATACAGGATTAATTAACATGATACTTGTAATCAATTAAATGGTACCTTTACATAGGTATAAACCTCTTAATGCAGTGATACAGGATTAGTTAACATGATAATTGTAATCAATTAGGTGGTACCTTTACATAGGTAACCTCTTAATGCAGTGATACAGGATTAGTTGACATGATAATTGTAATCAATTAGGTGGTACCTTTACATAGCTAACCTCTTAATGTAGTGATACAGGATTTGTCAACATGATTATTGTTATCAATTAAATGGTACCTTTACATAGGTATAAGCCTCTTAATGCAGTGATACAGGATTAGTCAACATGATTATTGTAATCAATTAAGTGGTCCCTTTACATAGGTAACCTCTTAATACAGTGATACAGGATTAGTCAACATGATTATTGTAATCAATTAAGTGGTCCCTTTACATAGGTAACCTCTTAATACAGTGATACAGGATTAGTCAACATGATCATTGTAATCAATTAAGTGGTACGTTTACATAGGTAACCTCTTAATGTAGGGATACAGGATTAGTCAACATGATAATTGTAATCAATTAAGTGGTACCTTAACATAGGTAACCTCTTAATGTAGGGATACAGGATTAGTCAACATGATCATTGTAATCAATTAAGTGGTACGTTTACATAGGTAACCTCTTAATGTAGTGATACAGGATTAGTTAACATGATTATTGTAATCAATTAAGTGGTCCCTTTACATAGGTAACCTCTTAATACAGTGATACAGGATTAGTCAACATGATCATTGTAATCAATTAAGTGGTACGTTTACATAGGTAACCTCTTAATGTAGTGATACAGGATTAGTCAACATGATTATTGTTATCAATTAAGTGGTACCTTTACATAGGTTACCTCTTAATGTAGTGATACAGGATTAGTCAACATGATTATTGTTATCAATTAAATGGTACCTTTACATAGGTAACCTCTTATTGCAGTGATACAGGATTAGTCAACATGATCATTGTAATCAATTAGGTGGTACCTTTACATAGGTAACCTCTTAATGCAGTGATACAGGATTAATTAACATGATAAAATTAATTCCTGGGTCCGCCCCTGTACAGGATTAGTTAACATACTAATTGTAATATTGTACCTTTACAGAGGTGACCGCCAAATAGAAGTGGTCTTGGGCAGGTTTGACTGTACTTATCTCCAAAGAACAGCTGACAATGTAAATATCCACTTCTTAGTGAAAATATGAGATCAATAAGTCAAGTAAAGGGTAATGGAAAATGCTGGAAACCCCTCATTAGGTCATTCAATTTGATTCATAAAAATCTGGATGATATGTGATCTACTTATGTATATGCATATACATTTCAGAATATTTTACTTTTTCATATGGATTTGGCTTTTTGCTTATGGCTTTGAATGATTATGATCAAGTTTGGCACGATTTGACCTTTTAGTAAACTTAACTTTATCATTGGTAGGGCTAAGATCTAGATGACACCACAATAAAAATGTTTTTTACATTTGGTTTGTAGTTTTTTCTTTCATCTACCTATCATCTTTTTCATCTGATATCCTAAATTACACAACAGCTGGTTGGATTTTAACCAAATGTGGAGTAAAGCATCACACTGCCAAACTGGATTAATGTTTTATAAACAAAGGGTATCTTATTATAAACAAAAGGTATCTTATTTTCAAGGTTCAATAATTTTAGTGAATGCTAACAAAAAATAATGCAAATGTCTTCGATAAAATTCATCAGTTTGGAAATATAAAATATCAAAGTTTTACTTTCTACACAATGAATGTATTAAGTGTGACAGAATTAAATGCGACAGAATGTAAGGTATATGTTCTCCATCAAAGGCCTATTACTAGGCACTGTTGACAGAAAGTAAGGTATGTGTTCTCCATGAAAAGCCTATTACTAGGCACTGTTGACAGAATGTAAGATATATGTTTTCCATTAAAGGCTTATTGCTAGGCACTGTTGACAGAATGTGAAGGTAGGTGTTCTCCATGAAAGGTCTGTATTTCTTTTATCTGTCACATATTGCATTGTAATCTCAACTAAACCAAATAACCTTGTTTTGATGAAGTAGGCCTCACAGACTGTGATTTATAACATATGGTTATTTGACAGTTAAATATGTAAAATTTAGTGCTTTATACCAAATAAAAATTATACCATAGCTACCCTAGTTTACATCACTCCCACACATGACTGAATGAGCTTTGCCATGGAACAACCACAAATTTATTATTGTGGTCTGTGCATATTGAGATGAAGGCTATACAGTTTATTCTAATGGATGACCTTGATCCATAGTATAGAAATCTACATACAAATTAAATAACTCTATTGCATATAAATCTATCCATACCAATTGTATTAATTTTTAATTCGTTTAGACTTGAATGACCGAGTCCCATGATGAAGTATGGACACTTTTTAACCATTTTAATTTTAAGGACATCATTGCTGAAAATTATTGTTCCACAGAAACCATTTACAACAAAGCAAAAATCCTTAACCCCCTTTGGGGCAAAATATGAAAATTACAACCAAATGAGTACGATTTGTCCATCCTGTGCAAAGCTAGGTGATTTATTATCTTTCTGGTCTAGTTGTATGACAACAATAAGAGATAATATTCCCTGTAATACAATATGGGTGACAGCAAGGACAGAAGCCCCAGTATTCAGCAATATATAGAGTGATCCCTTTCCAGCGAAAGGGTAATGACCCCAGATCCTATTAAGGGGTTAGTGTCTGAGGATTCATGCTAGAAAATAGTGGTCCTTACAAAGGAAAATTGACTGCATAGGTCCCAGCATTGAGGATTTGTACTAGCAAGGGGATACTGACCCTAATTCCCACCATGGGTTAATGTGGCCAAGGTCCCAGCTGTAGGATAGTGACATCAATGTCCTAGCAAGGGATAAGTGACCACATGGAGTGCATGGTCATCGACCAAAGGTTCTTATAAGGAAAGTGGCCATATACAAAGGGCATAGTGGTTCCAAGTCTTAATAAGGAGAAATGTGACCCGATCAAGGGGTTATTTGTTACAAACAAGAGGAAAGAGACATGAACATCAAGCTTAATGTCTTGTTCTGGTTATAAACTCATAATAAATCTTATTTTGCCAAAGATTTGGAAACATTTTGAAGAGACTTGAACCTGAATACTGCTTTCAATGTTTACATTTGACATTTTGATCGTTTGAAATGATTTAAGTGAGTAACAAGAAAGTTGGTTTGAGCACAGAATTCATGCTTGAGCATGAGAACGGTTTCATGAATCCGGGCCCTGATGTTCCTGCGTAGGAGAAAGTGGTCTCTACAAGGAGCTAGTGACCATTTGGTACTAACTTGAGTCCAAAGTCCCTGCATTGAAATAGTGGACAAAGTTACCCTCCTGATATATTGTACTCACTCAAAGGAGATATCGGCCTCCAGATTCCAACAAGGGGATGGTGATCTTGGCCCGTAGTTCATGAAACTGTTCTCATGCTAAAAACATTGGGTTCTGTTCTCAAAACAACTTTCTTATAACTTGCTTAAAATATGTTGCAAGATCATGAAGTCGAACCTAGATATTGAAAAAGGTATGCAACTACAAATGTCTCAAACATTCTTTTAAATCAATAACAACATGTAAATTTTACTAATTTATCACAGGGAACAAGAAATTGTATTTGTCACAGATCTCAGTTTGTGTATGAAGATGGATTCGTTACAGCCCCATGTTTATCCCAAACATGCATGTTATTTATTCAAATTGAGGCTACTTGAGGTTTACTCAAGTAGCCATATTGCTTGTCACTGTGTTGGAGTTGTCTAGGTACCAGATGTAGCAATGGGCACTGGGATAATATTGTCTACAGGGACCAGAGGGAGGCTGGATATGGTCCAAGATTCAAGTGGTGTCTTCATTGTCCATATAGAGTGACAAACATGCCACTGGGATAGTGTTTTTGTGTACAGTGATTAGAGGAAACATCAGAGAGAACCTCGGCTCGATTGGCTAGTTTGGTTACTTTGTCGGCAACTCTTGGCCTCTATGCTGATGTCGCTTGCAGTGACGAGAGGGAACCCTTTGTGATGCACAAAACTCGCAATCCGAGTGCTGATTCTTTGGAAGATGAACGTGCCACTCACATGAGACGCACCTTTGAAATTGTCAATAGAAACAGTTTGCCAAAACATGAATTTCACTACCCCATAACAGCTGTTTCGTCCTTTTAGGACTCGTCGATATTACTAGGGGCCAAAAGGATAAAAAAAAAAAAACCACTCTAAATTGTCTAAACACATATTCCCACAGTTCTCGTTAACTCGGAAATCTGCGTTCCTGTCCCTAGAGAGTTTACCGGAAACGGATAGCTCCAATTCTAATCAAATTGATCTCTAATCTGGACAAATTATCTTGACGTCAACTTCATCGCGGATATTGAATGCAGATTTTCAGACTCGGTTCAAGTTTCGGAAGACGACGGTAAAGCCAGATACAAGGATCAGTTAACGGTGTATCAAGATAAGCGTCATTCACGAAGTCATGTTCTGTTTATCTACAAATTGGTAAATCCTTACATTTTTACTGGCTACCAAAATGTTCGGAATACATAGGTATCTTATTTTAAAAGAAACTAATGACCATACATAGGCTACATCGAAATAATGGGCTTGTTCTTTGTTGTATACCGGTCACTTGACATGAAGCTGCATTGGTCATTAACAATGGTGTACAGAATGCGCCTAAGTAGGACGGTCAATAACCCATACACTAAATGAGAGACACGTCGATATTGTATTAGAGTTGACAGTTAATCAATGTTGTGTGCGTCACACTGTCCACCTTGCTATAATATGTACATACATAGACCAGAATATCGCCATTCAATTTATCCTCAATTAACATACACGATGCAACAGACGCTTCCTGAAGATACGATATTCTTCTGAAATCAACAGAAGTTTGCGGTGCTGATCTTGGATACTTAGCTATAACACAATTCCATCACGGAGACATTTGGCAATGGCCAACACTAATTTGATTAACTATGTCGGTGTGATGATCGTTCACGTGCTGGTAGTGTCACTCAACATTAAATAGGCCATGATCTTGGCTGGCATTGTTGCTGTGTACGTGCTTTTTGTCAGTGTATATTCTACCACGTGTCAATCATTCCACACATGAAACAATCGTCTATTGTTGTTTAAGTGGACATACATTGTGCCT